CGCTTGCGTTTTCAAAGATCCAAGTGGCTCGCTACTTCTGGGCAGTTGTCTGCAATCTGACAATAACTATTACATTTATGATTGGCGGCAGCACATTCAATTATCGAACAAATGTTTTACACGTGCCAACTTAGTAGGTATCTTTATGACTGGCTGCTTTGATTATGAGCAAGTACCAAACCAACAGTTTGTATGGGACCAAAAGACAGGCCGCATTGTTAATTTCGTAACAAAGTACTGCATGGATGTAAATCGGCAAACACAACAAGTTGTCATGGCACCGTGCAACGTCTCAACAAAAACCCAATCTTGGATGTTTGATTATTTTAATTCTACCCTAGTCCGTGAAGTATGGGAGAAACAAATAACAGAATTGAATATGTAATTTTTTTTAATTGTAATCTCATAACCTGACAGAAAAAACCCTGACAAACGAAGATGACATTTTTTGAGCTGACAGGAAAACTTTTTGTTGACAGATTTTCCTGGTGTAGACGGTGTGAATAAACAACCATTGCATCAATTTGAAGCAATGAGAAAGCGTCTGAGACTTTAATGTGTACTCAAGGGAGTGTGTACGCTTGGCAGCTTTTAACTGAGTACCGAAGCAGTGGTGCCGGAACCTTGTGCCATCCCTCCCAGACAAATGATATAAAGGCTAAGACACCCTGCCCTAGAAAGTTACGGCGGGGGTGGGGCAGCTCGTCTAAACCCAAAGACAAAAATTCATTCCAATACTGTGTGGGCCACACTTACACAGATAAAGAGGCTGGCATGTCTGTAGAAGTTGGCATCTGGGGAAAAGTTCTCACGTTAAAGAGGATCGCACCTTTGAAGAAGTCAATGTCTGTGTGTTTCAAAAGTAATCTAGAACTAACCCATGTGTGGTCCAAGACAGTAGCGGGTGTTTGCGAGTTATGCAATGATACTAAAGGTTGTAGGCTGACACTCTTGTCTGTAGAATTGTAATACATTAGCGGGTGTTTGCGAGTTATGCGATGATACTACATGTTGTAGGCTGACACTCTTGTCTGTAGAATTGTAAGACAGTAGCGGGTGTTTGTGAGTTATGCGATAATACTACATGTTGTAGGCTGACACTCTTGTCTGTAGAATTGTAAGACAGTAGCGGGTGTTTGCGAGTTATGCGATGATACTACATGTTGTAGGCTGACACTCTTGTCTGTAGAATTGTAAGACAGTAGCGGGTGTACGCGAGTTATGCAATGATACTAACAGTTGTAAGCTGACACTCTTGTGTATCTCTCCAATTATAAGAGGAGAAGGAGGATACTTAAGTCAATAACATATGGTAATAATTGGGGAGGGGAGGCACATGTTTTATAATCTCCGTCCCACTATGGAAAGCAATTTCTTTTCTATTTTAAATCTCTACCATGGTTATGGTCATGCGGCCATAAGTGCTTAGATTCAACCCTCCCCTCCCTCAGGTTAGCCAAACCTTCAGGTAGCGACACGGAGGGAGCAAATCACAATGGACAGGCGTAGTAGGTACATCTTTATTGACATAACAGAATATAATTTAAATGGAAAACGTCTGTTGGTAACAACAGTGCGGTGTCGTTCAGATACTTGGGTACATTTCTACCGGAATATGCTCTGTTATCTCATTATTTTAATGTTCTGAAATTAATTACGGCTATCCTCGTCTATCACAGAGACTTCGACAACTTTTTTAAGAATCAGTCAAGATCGTCGGAATCCCTGTCTTTGAATCGAATACAGTTAGATCACGTGATGATACGTTGAACAAAAGTTCTATCTTCGATGTTAAGTTAAGTTAAGTTAGTTGCGTATCCTCTACAGGACGTTGCAGAACCAACCCTAACAGCCCCTGGCTGTTGTGTGGTTTCTCTAGGCAATTTACATCTAGTAGTTTGTCATTGCTTTCTGGACGTTCGGCTTTCTTGATACCACTGTCGAAACCAATGCAAGGCGCATTGCCCGCAGCTGGGATCGAACCTGGCATCCTGGCATTACGAAGCGAAGCGTCCGCATCGACTTAGCCACAGAGCCGACATCTTCGATGTTACATAACCGAAAACAGTAGTAAACCATTCGATAGAATACATGGATTGGAATTTTTTATAGCTAAAGACTCAAAACATCGTGGATTATGTGAACGGGGGACAGGGTTGAACAAGACTTTATCAGCAGAAGAAAAGAAATTATCTGAGAACTGGTTCAGACAATACAATTTCAATTAATTTGCAAGCGATCACATTTCTCTTAAGAGATCAGTTGGAGATACAATATCGAAAGTGTGTAAAACTAAACAATATGTGAAAAACATTCCACCATCAAGTGTTAGCATCATTTTGAGCGTCTATAACGAAAAGAAAACTATTCTCAGATCAATTCACACTATCATCAACAGATCTCCAAAACATCTTCTCAAAGAGATCGTTCTTGTGGATTATCTCAGTACATATGAAGAACTCAAAGAGCGCCTTGAGATGTACATACAACAGCACTTTCCCATAGTTAGAATTGTTAAAAACACCAGAAGACAAGGCCTCATTTGAATCAGAATGATCGGAGCTAACGCCACAACTGGAGACATACTTTGCCCATGTTTTTTTGCCCCTCGATGCCCATGTGGAAGTTAACTACAACTATCTGCCTCCTCTGATAGAGCCAATCGTTTTAGATTACAGGAAAATTGTGTGTCCATTCGTGGATATTATAGAGTATCCGAACATGAGACTTCAACCAAATTTAGATAGAGAGCGCGGGGCCTTTGGGTAGGATATGGTCTATCAACAGCTGCCGGTCTTTCAGAAAGACAAAAGTGCACCTCACCCAGTACCAGTCATGATGGGTTCCGTGTTTGCCATCAGTCGTAGGTGGTGGGAGGAGATAGGAAGATATGACCCTGGACTGGAGGTTTGGGGAGGTGAACAGTATGAAATCAGCTTTAAGTCTTGTATGTGTGGAGGGAGTGTGGTAGATTCTCCGTGTGCTCGCGTGGCTCATATGTTTAGACCTCTCTCATATGGATTTGGAAGTAACGAAAGATTCCTTGATAGACAGAAGCTATCTACGTGTGGCAAAGGTGTGGATGGACGAATATATCGAGTATGTGTTCCAGAGAAGGCCAATGATGCGCAGTATCGATCCAGGCAATCTAACAGAACAGATTGCTATCAAAAAGAGACTCAACTGCAAATCCTTTAAATGGTACATATCAGAAGTGGCTCCTGACATACCGAAATTTTTTCCATTTATGGAGCCACCTGATAAAGGGTGGGGCATGTTGAGAAGCAATTATAATAAATCCTTATGTTTTAATCCAGATTCAAAGGGCTGGCTATTTTTGGGCGAATGCCCAAAATCCCAGTATAAACATTTCAAATATGACTGGAAGCAGAACATTAATGTTTTAGGAAAGTGTCTTAGAAATACTGATTTAGTGTATGTCTATTTGGTAACTGGTTGTTTATTTTACGAGAAAGTGCCAAGACAACCGTTTGTTATTGCGCCATGCGACGTCTCAAGGATAACCCAATCCTGAGGCTTCGATCATTTCAATTCTACACTAGTTGATGAGGCTTGGGAAAAACACCGTGCAGATCTACATATGTGATCCGTGGTATGGGACGTCGCAGGTCGACCCAGCCTAAAATGGGTACCAGGATGGGCTGTCCAGGGAAAGTAAAGACAGCCGGCGTAATGCTGACCACATTACCCACAGAGTGCTGATGGTCTGTAAAAATATGGGACGCTCTGCCCATATGCCCGATGCGCCGAAAGGCGTGAAAAGGGATCTTTACTTTACTTTTACATATCTTTATTGGAATAATGTAATTCCTTGAGATTTCTCTATATGAAGATTCAAGTACTACATACATTGAAGTGTTGATGGATATAAACACACACACATATACACACATCACACACTCACACGTCTTCACTGAATTTTTAATGAACGAAAAGTAACACTTTTTTTGCGAAATAAATAACTAATAAATCATGTGCGGGACGGGCAGATCTACAATTAGATTTGTTGATAAACAGAAGTAAAGAAATAAAAATGCAAATGATATAAGTCACTAGTATAATTTGCCCCTTATTCTCCCAGGATACATTTAAACTCATTCCTAATTCATTATAATAAATTTTTTTTTCACCATGTTGTTACATATCTATTTCAAACCTTTTTTTTTGGGGGGGGGGGGGGGGGTAGGGGGGCAAAATTTGTGTCACTTACTGATCATCGGCGCTGATGAACAATATTTTGACAGTCATACATACATCTGTCCGTGCGAGAAGCACTTGTCAGTCACATTAAAACCTGCTATTTACAGTGACTGTCCCCGTGCCTTATTGATTTTAATAATAATGTTAAAAGTTGAACGTTGGGGTAGGGGATTGGGGCGGAAGCTAAGATTGGCATATAAGGGACAATCAGAATGACATGTACAAATGTCTGGTCGCTACTGTTCACCGTTGAGGAAGAGTTCTTGTGACAGTCAAACAGATGGGCAGAACCGTGAATTTTTTTGTTACATAGTATACATAAAACAAATAAGCACGTAACTGGTGAAACAGATGACAGGCTAAGCACATATTATTTTTGTCAGTGAGCGCTAGACGCCCGCCTGCCGGCCCGAATGTCTACGGATTAAATCCTTATAGAAGCGGATTTTTGTTTTCTTAATTTGATCATAGTTTTCAGGTCTACCCAGCCTTAAATGTGCTCCAGGTAATGTCATGGGAAGTAAAGGCGGTGTACAGGATATTAGCTACATTATCCACCCTGTGTTGGTCAATCTATTCAAAAATAAAACTATGTGTCTGTAGCGCTTTTCAAATGTCGTATCGTTAAACTGTAAAAAATTTCTTGAAAACTCCTGTATGCATCAACAGATTTCTCACGTCCTTATGATTTCTGTTGTGTTTTTTTTTTTTTTAACGGCGAATTTCTGTTATCTTTGTCTGTCTTCTAATTTTTGTGCCCCTAAAATCAGACATAGAAAATGACAACATACAAAATGTATCTTTTGTTGGGGCCACAGGTGAGCAAGCAAAGATTCGCATGCTGCCCGCAGGATGTATTTTTGCATGTTTGTTGTAAATCATATGCTCGATGAGCCACGGTGTAAAGAGTGTACTTCAATTATTTTGCTGTGAAATGAGATATCTGAATACCAAGGGACACTGGTTCAACAGTAGTGCCGTTTCTCCGAAAAGGAAATACAGTGGTGCATCGATATACGTCCGCTTTGTAATAAATCTAACTTAATATGCGTACTGTTAAAACGCGAACATGTTTACTTTAGATAGGACCTTTGTTTGCAATATGATTTGAAAAGAGCCAGATCAAAGAAAGAGAAAATAATACCATAATTTCAAAGTCCTGAAACAGAATTGGTAGGGGACTCTTCTACTAAACTTCTGCTTCTTCTTCTTCTTTGTTCACCGGATGTAGGCTCCGACGGAAAGTCTTGGTTGTTCGTCCATTTGGAAGGGCCTGAGTTTTGCGTGTCCATCCGTTTTACTGGTTTATTTGTGTGCAGTTGATTTTTCCTTGCCACTTATGCAGATGCACTCCGTCTTCGAAGGAAGCCAACAGTTAGCCGATTCCTACGACATGCTTGGTGGAGAGGCAGTGGGTTATCTTGTTCTCCCCACAATGAGGCCCCTGAACCCACACCGGGAGCTTCATCCAAACAAAAACGTCTTGTCCCCCCTCCCTTTTCAGCAGCATCCTAGTTTCTCAGCAAGGTAAAATGAGGTAGAACTTTCCTTTCTTTAATCTATTTGTTCTGGTAATGAAGTATTTTAGTATTAAACAGGGTTTACATTATTTTATTCAGCCCTATCAGTGTATATAATATAGCAATAACAATAGAATTAATTTTTTATTCATGGGATCGGATTGATCATTGTCTTTTTATTTCTTATGTAAAAATTCGTTTCATATGTTTGGTATACATTCTGTTTGGTGTACGTCCTGCTTGGTATTCGTCCTGTTTGATGTACGTCCTTTTTGGTGCAAGTCCTGTCTGGTAAAAGTCCAAGGATCCGGAACGGATCAGAGACATACTGAGGAACCATTTGACATGGGCCTTATTAAAAGCCACAATATTTAAATAGAGCAGAAATGGATTCCTGGAAGAACAAGAAGGGTTTTTCCAGCATGACGGTGGTCACAGCATATTAAGAGCACCCTTGGAATGTCGTTTAACACGGAGGAAGCTGGCAAGGGTCTATATGCCGTCCTGAGAACTACCATCTGCATTATGAATCAATAGATATAAGAGATTAATGTTTGTTTAACGTATTTGTACTTATTTAATATATCTCACCAAAATCATAATCAATATACAGCAAACGAAAGATGTAACAGTCAAAAGATATTACAGATTTTTTTTCCTATTACACATATTGTTAAATCTCTTTGCGCACATCAAACTATATGTAGGAGGAAAACAAAATTTAAATTCATATCATTTGAATTACATTCTTTACATTTAATGTATTTTTTTCTTCAGAATTTGAGTTTATTCAACGTAGCTGTCCGTACTTATAATGATTCGCCAAAATCCTCCTCAACAAACAGCAAACAAATTAATCAGGAGTGGGTAATTTTTACTGGTTCACGAAGCTGGTGTAAAATTACTATAATAATCTGGCACTTGAGCTCACAAAATAGCAAAGCACACAAACATACGTTCCTGTTAAAAAATATTAATAAAATATTAACAATTATCAAATTCCTAAAATATGATTTCCTAACCAGCTGAAACTCTTGTCTTTAGAATTGTAAGACAGTAACAAGTGTTTGCGAGTTATGCAATGATACTACATGTTGTAAGCTGACACTCCTGTCTGTAGAATGTAAGAACCTGGGTTCTTTGATCCTGCTAGTAACATTTGTGTTACGGATAAACTCATTTAGGACTCCTGATTTCATTTGATTGATTTTATTCAAGAACCGACATCACAGCACTCAGGGCATTCCTAAAAGCGCTCCGTCCCCATCCTAAGCAGCCAGCGAAGAGTTCCGATACTAATGGTGCCAGCAGCATTCTGATTAAACGTCCGTCTTGCCTTTCTTCTGAGCCTCGAGCATCTGCCAGAACATCTCGTCACTACCCCCTGCATCAATCTCACCAGACTGTGGTAATCCATCTGCTCCTCCGAACTATACACGCTCTCCCACAAGGCACTAACCACATCTGCTCTATCATGTATTAGTATTCCACCAAGTTGTGCAGAGCCAGTCAATCTGTCTGCCTGCTCATTTCCCAACACACCGGCGTACCCTGGTCTTCATCCGTGACCTCCGCAGCGAAGCATACGACTTCGCACGAAGCATACCTGTTCTGATCTTCCTCGGCATGCTTTCTGAGTCAGTTACAATCACGATGTGTGTGTGTGTGTCGTGTTCTCTAGCCAGCAGAAAGCTGTTGTGACCGCCTCCACCTCCATTCTTAAGCTGGATGTTGTGGTATCATATGCCAGGCTCTCCTGCACCAAACGTCGACCATTAACTTTTGCTAAGAAGCCTCAAGCACTTATTTTGCCTCTTGACATTGAACCGTCTGTGTAAATGATCAAATCCTCTGAGCGAGCATTATCTTGAATTAATTGCAGAATTTCCAACTCTGTGGCACCTGCTGGCCAATCCCTGCATTCCTGGCTCAGTGTGATTATGACTCTACACAAGTCTGACTGCTCAGGTGGCACTTTGACCCACTCCTCCCCTCGCCTAATGTTCTCAAGGATGCAAACCTGTCTGATTGTGTCTTCTGCCTGAGCCTTCCATGACTTCCCTCTTATCAGCCGCTGACCCTTAACTGCACCCAGAGCTTCATGCAGGGGGGTGGTCTGTGTCTGCTGCTACCCTGAGATTTGACTTCGTCTGCAGCACCTTATGCCTACCTGCAACAGTCCGCATACACACCACTGGGGTGTCTCTGGTGCAACCCAGAAAGCCCCCTTAGCTGCGTTCTGTATGCGCTCTAGTTTGTCCATCTGACTCTTTGAGACGGTAAGAAGTCCCAGGCCATAATCAACAACTGACAGGATCAGGTGCTGATATAGTGTGAAAAGCATTCTCTGCTCTATGTCAATTGCAGCCATAGTCTTAAGTTCACCAAGTCATTTTTGGCATCTTGTCACAACACTCTCCACATGGTCCTTAAATGACACGCTCCTGTCAAATGTAATTCCCAGATACTTCAGTTTGCTCTCTCTGTTGACGTCTCTACCATCTATCGTGAGACTTGGGAGACTTTAACGATTCTGTTGTCCAGAGAACACCACATAACAGACGCCTTTTCCGGGTGGACGACAGCCCTCATTGCTGTACACGACTCAGTCATTGTGTCTACTGTTTGTTCCCTCTCTTCCACCCGCCTATATGCAACTATATCATCCGCAAAAGTCAGTATCCTACAACTCCTGGTGCTTCTAGGCTTGCAGTCGTGCTCGTGTATACGGTAAAGAGCACAGGCGAAATGGTGGATCCCTGTGGCAGTCCTAAGGCCAAACTGACTGGTTCTGAGGTCCATGAGCCCAGTTGGAGAGCAACCTGACGTGAATACAGGACAGCTGCAACCCAATTCACAAGCCATGGACTGACCTCCTTCTCCTTTAGTGCAGTCATTAAGATGTCGTATCTCACTCTGTTATAAGCATCCTCGAGATCCAGTCATGTCGCCATAGTTTCCTGTCTGTTCTGTAACCCTTCATAGACGTCAAACGCAAAAGTGGCTGCATTTGCCCATGTGTCCTTTCGTGGCCTGTAGCTTTCTAGACCTCTTGGGAGAAGCTTCCCCTTTTCCAACAATTCTTGTAACTTTACAGCAACTATCTTCTCCAAGACCTTCCCAAATGTGTTTTTTAAGGTGATGATTCTTAAGCCACTGAACTTAGAATGATCTTTATAAGTTTTGGTAATGGGATTAGATAGCTGTGCACCCAGTCATGCGGTACTGATGCTGTCTTAATACTCTGGTTAAAACAGTCGGCCATCTCTGCCAGGTCTACATTGCTCAAAGCCTTCATGTTGCTATACCTGACTCCATCAGGCCCTGGCGCAGTGTCTTTTAGGACTGTGTAGAAGGGTTTCAGGGGGTAAATGTTTCTAGCCAGAAGAATGGCGAGGAATTATAATCTTGATGGTAGATTTGTGAAACTCAACTAAATATTAAGCCACAGAAAGAGGTACTGTGATGCCTCTGCATGCAACGGCCCAGCAAAGTAAATAATTCTTCATTTTATTACCAAGAATGCGGCGTGACGTATCAGCCACCAAGTATCAACTGGTCTTCTAAAATATATGTCTATCCCTGTAAGCCCTGTACACCTAAAGGCGTGCAAAATGGTCCTTTACTTTACTTTTTACATTACCAAGAATTCGTTTTTTAAACTTTGCCAGATATTATGGAAGCCGAATCATCGATGCATAATCGATGTTCTACTGTGTGTTGTTTATTTCTTGCCACTCAGCAGATTATAACAATAGTTATTATTATTTTATTTTTTTTTTTTTTTTGAACAGTTAAGCAACACTTTAGCACTATAACCCCCACTCAGGCCAATAATTGTATGGGAGCGGGAACGAAGGTTGATTAAGCCTTGTTTACCTGTACAATATTATTAACAATTAATTATATTAATTATTGTTTTTGTCATTATTATTATATTTATTGTTTCGCAATTAAAGAACACTTAAGCCCCCTCTCCACATCTAGAAAACAGTTTTAGGGGTTAGGGGGGGGGGGGGGTAGTTAACGCTCACCGTAAAGTGGCTGGCCTAGCCCTAGTATCACAGACCGTTATCGCTTCAGGTCACAGTGTCCTCCGGGCGGGCCTCAGTCTTCTAAACCAGTGATATCCTCAACCTTATTGCAGCCAATGCTCACTAGTTGAAGAACACTGCTGCAAACCATTTCCAAAACAAAAAACAGGGAAAGGGTGTGGGGAGGCGGTGCTAAGCCTCCTGAAACGTTCTTGGGGCGGCGGCTCAATGGGCTTGTCTTGTTTAAAGGTGCTATACAAATCATGTATTATGTGTTGTACGTCAAATAGATATACCAATACATCTGTAATTATATGAAAAGTTCAAACAAATACATATAAGAGCGTGGCTTTGGTAAGTGAGGGTGGGGGTGATTCCAAGTGGTCTAAATTTATAAGAGAGTATATGTGATCAATTTGAAATTTATATCTATCGTGAAGTAAAGCCATTTTATTTAACTTTAAAGTTGTAATTTTTTTTTCTTAGCTAATCACTTGAAGCATTAACTACATCTCTACTCGTCTATCAACAGAGACTTCACAGACTTCTTCGTGGGGAATCAGCCGAGATCGTGGAAATCCCACCACTCGTATCCAATACAATCAGATCACGTGAGGATACATTGAATAAAAGTTCCATCTACAATGTTACAGAACCGGAAACGGTAGTCAACCATACACTAGAATACATGGATTGGAATGACTACGAACTTATGGCCAAAGACGCAAAACGTCGTGGATTCGGTGAACAGGGGACAGGGTTCAACAAGACTTTATCAGCAGATGAAAAGAAATTATCTGAGAAATTGTTTAAACAATACAATTTCAACGCTTTTGCAAGCGATCACATTTCTCTTGAGCGATCAATCGGAGATACAAGATCAGACGTGTGTAAAACTAAACAATATTTGAAAAACATTCCACCAGCAAGTGTTAGTATCATTCTGTGCTTCCACAACGAGAAGAACTCAACTATACTCAGATCGATTCACAGTATCATCAACAGATCTCCAAAACATCTTCTCAAAGAGATCGTTCTTGTGGATGATTTCAGTACAGATGAAGAACTAAAAAAGCCCCTTGAAATGTACACACAACAGCACTTTCCCATAGTTAGAATTGTTAGAAACACCAGAAGGCAAGGCCTCATCCGAACCAGAATGATCGGAGCTAACACCACAAGTGGAGACATACTTGTATTTCTCGATGCTCATGTGGAAGTTAACTACAACTATCTTCCTCCTCTGATAGAGCCAATCGTTTTGGATTACCGGAAAATCGTGTGTCCACTTGTGGATGCCATAGATCATCAGACTATGAACATTCGGCGAAGCTTAGACAGTTCACGCGGAGCCTTTAGTTGGGATTTGGTCTATCAACATTTGCCGGTCTTTCAGAAAGACAAAAGTGCACCTCACCCAGTACCAGTCATGATGGGTTCCGTGTTTGCCATCAGTCGTAGGTGGTGGGAGGAGATAGGAAGATATGACCCTGGACTGGAGGTTTGGGGAGGTGAACAGTATGAAATCAGCTTTAAGTCTTGGATGTGTGGAGGGAGTGTGGTAGATTCTCCGTGTGCCCGCGTGGCTCATTTGTTTAGACCTCTCCCCTATGTTTCAGAAGTAACCAAAGATCACTTGGTGGACAGAAACTATCTACGTGTGGCAAAAGTTTGGATGGATGAATATATCGAGTATGTGTTCCAGAGAAGGCCTATCATGCGCAAGATCGATCCGGGCAATCTAACAGAACAGATTGCTGTTCGAAAGAGACTCAACTGTAAATCATTTAAATGGTACCTAACAGATGTGGCCCCTGACCTTCTGAAAATATATCCACCAATTGAACCACCTAATAAAGCGTGGGGTCTGCTAAGAAATATTTACAATAAGTCCGCTTGCGTTTTCAAAGAACCAAGTGGTTGGCTACTTTTAGGCAGCTGTCTGCAATCTGACAATAACTTTTATGTTTATGATTGGCGGCAGCACATTAAATTATCGAACAAATGTTTTACACGTGCCAACTTAGTAGGTATCTTTATGGCTGGCTGCTATGATTATGAGCAAGTACCAAACCAACAGTTTGTATGGGACCACAAGACAGGCCGCATTGTTAATTTCGTAACAAAGTACTGCATGGATGTAAATCGGCAAACACAACAAGTTGTCATGGCACAGTGTAACGTCTCAACAATTACCCAATCCTGGATGTTTGATTATTTTAATTCTACCCTGGTCAATGAAGCTTGGGAAAAACACCGAGCAGAACTAAATATGTAAAAACATTTTTTGTTTGGTAATCTCATAAACTGACTGGGGAAACCCCGACAAAATGGGGTATGCTAGTTTGGCGGAATTTTCTAAATCAACAATTGTATTGACATAACACGGTCCAGAAATCCCAACAAATTATTCAACTTAAAAAGAAAAGAGAAAAAACAAATCACGGTCTCATCATACACCACAATACATATTCACAGGCATCAAAACGTCACTCAGCTCTAGTCCAAGTCCAAGTCCTTTTGGGGAAAAAAAAAAAAAGCTCGACCACGTTCAGACTGCTGCTAGCTAGCCTAGGCTGCTAGCAGTCTCCACCTATATTTGTGGTCTTGGTTATTTGCGTCACTTTCGTGACTGAATACTAGTGTTTGTGCCATTTCTCGCTTGATGCTTCCACCCGAATCAACCCGATCGTCCTGTTGTCACTGGTGCATGTCTTCCTTCTTCTTTCTTGGTGTTTCCTCTTTGTTCTGTCTCCCTTTGATCTGGCTAGGCGTGTCCCAAAGGAAAGCGAGCTTCCATACACAACGTCCTTTGGACCACCATTTATTGTTTTAAAATTTTGAGTATTTTAATTTTGCCAAAAAGTACTAAAAACAGTTTTTGAATTTGAATAGTTCTGAAATGTGAAAATTTTCCGCGTGTGACCATAGTGGTCTTATAGTTGTCTTCCTGTTGTATGAACGGGTTAGTCATGTAATGGATATGTGTGTGAGAGTTTATTTGGAGCCTTAAGCGGGTCCAGTCGTCATTTGTTATTATGTGATCGGGTTGTGTTAACAGCTAAGCTCCGGTGTACGTAAATACCATATCACCGGAGCATCCAGCTCACGCTTTGAGATCCAAATGTTCGGCGATGAGAATTGCGGTCAATGAGAAATGTGGCATGCTGGGTAACGAACTCAAGTGCTCTCTGTGGGAATGGGTTGAGGGGGGGGGGGGGGTTAAACTCATAGTGCATCCGAAAGAGTTAGGAAAGGTGAGGGGAAAGGGGGCCGTCTTGCTGGATTCTAGCGTGGCCTTTTGCCGGGACTATGTATATCACGTTACCAACCTTTGCTATCATCCCAGTGATTGGGTGGTATTGGTGGTTATGCGTTCTAGTCCTGTCATTATCGAGTCACTTGTTTTCCCTATTTGCTGTCTTGTTGTGAGTCCTGTCGGTCATGTGCATGTTGTATGCATGCTGTGGAATGTGATGGTTTTGTGTATGAATCCCTAGAGTATATGGACGCACCCAACTAGGTGTATGCGTACATGCACTTGAGTACTCATACACGCAGACAACACTACATATTTACACGTCCTTTCATACTTATCCGTGTATGCATACCTAATTGACATTACGTACACACGCAAACTCTTTCATATGCGTCTACCCATGCCTGTACTTACATTCATAAAAACGAGTACATCCACTCGTAGTGACATTCACTCTTCCATGTCTTGTGCGTTTTGTGTCGCTATGTCTGTAATTTCGTCTGGTCGTGTCACTTTTAAGTTATGTCCCTTTACTGGTACGTGACCTGTCCGGTACTGTCTTATCATGTTCTGGTGGCTGGTGTGTGTTGATGACGTTCTTGCTGCGTACACACTTCATTCCATTTGTTCTCATTAATTAACAGACATGCAGCAACACAATTTATGGGTTTTTTGAGTGCACTGTCATTCCTACACACACAAATATATAAATATACACGCTCTCATATATATACACACATGCACACTCATACCCACACATACATGCATACAGTAATACATTTCTATATCCATGTACTCGTTCATATTTACCTTTCGCACAGCTATTTTATCACTGTCCTGTCCATACGTGATCCCTTACCATCCGCCTACATAC